ATTAGGGCTCATTTGAAGGAAACTGACAGAATTTTCAGCAAACACTGTATCATTTATGTCGTACGATTGACGCAAAAATTAAAAATTAATTGCCTCAGAAGCTGCTCAGAAAGTGGAATAAATACGAAAGAACCAAGTGGAACTGAAATATCAGAGTAACCTTTCATCAGAGTAAGGATTAAATTAAGAAACAATGTCCTTTGTGAAGCATTTGAAATTATGGAAAATTATTGAAAGGCATGCCATTTCATCAGAGTATACAGTTTATATCAATTAAACAAAAAGAATGCAGAGGTAATGAAAAAAGACATTCAAAAGCCTTACTAAGCAAAGCACTAATCTTCAAAACCCATTCGGTTCTTCCGTAAAATTTTTAGTGAATTTACTTGCAGAGATTTGGATAATAACTTACTGTTAAACTTTGAAAGATATCTTTTTGGTTTATTTTTTTTTTGAATTTCTAGATCTCGCAGTTAATTAATTAGGCAGTCTAACTTACTCTAACGATTCCTGTACTTAAACTATTAGATCTTCCTTTCAAACTTTTAAATTTACTTTGTTTCATACATGTTACTCCAAGCGGTTTTGACATCAGACGAGAGCGCGCTTAATACAGACAAGCAAGAAACTGTTTGAGACTATTACCTAAAAATAATCGTTTTAGCGTTAAAAGATTAGTTTTGACGGTTTTTTCTGCAGAAGACAGCTAAGTAATCTGTAAATTGTCTGTTTTAATGCACGCGATTGAAGTTTTTCAGAGAATTTGCTATATTTAACGTGACTGTCTCTGTAATCCGTAGTCTCTTTGATCTGGTGCTTGTTTCAGGTGTGTACAGCAAATTGTATTCTTAAAAGTGTTGTTGCTTCAAACTTAATTTCATTTACTGCCTCGCAGATTAGAACGCGTCACTGGGAGTGACCAGAATCTTTAATTCCAAAACTTAACTTCTGCGACTCCCAAAGCACGTCTTTTTAAAAAGTATTGCAGCTGAATTTATAACAAAGATATGGTTTACTACAGCATTTTCAAACTCAAAAACAGCTTAACCGTCAAATACACTGTTCTATCAGAAAAACAAAAAGAAATGAGCTTTAAAAGTGGGGTAAATAAAGAAGTTTTAGAAGAAATTAAAACAACAACTTTTCAGTAGTATTTTTTTATTTACGGTGGCGTAAAGAAAAATAAAATTTTGAACTAGGGTTTTGTACAATTTTATAATGGATGTCGTACCTATATTGTCTATAACCAGTTACTCCAAACATAGCTGTGCTGTATTTACCTCAATGGTTGTACTTAGCAATAGTAACTTAAGCATTTCTCAAAGTGTTTCCCGCTTTCTAGATAAAGTGATGTGTTATCCATGGTATGAGCTTGAAAAAGCCGTTATTAAACAAGAAGAAAAACTGATGCAAAAAAAAAAAAAAAAAAAAGATACTGCGAAAGACGTAAGCAGTTATTAAGAAAAAATTTTCACGTTTTCTAAGCTTAGTTTTTATCATCCATAATTATGATAATTCATTTTTTATGCAATCAATCGCTTTCTTCTTCTCAACGCGTGACTTAAAACTTCAAGTAAAATAATCAGTCAATAAAAATGAGAGTTCTGAGTCAAATGTAAGTTATGGTCACGTTTTACGTCCACCTTCGAACACTGGCGCAGAAACAAGTTTTGGGAAAACAGAAGTCAATTTTCATCGGTGCCACCTTTAAGGCTTCCAATCGACGCGAAAGCATCATTTAGACAGCGCTAAAACTGTTTAGGTGTCACTGACACAAATTAAAGTTAAATTAAAAACTTAATTAAAAAGTAATAAAAGATTACTGGAAAACTCTGACTGTATTCCTTTTTAGTACCACTGGCACCTACAATTCTCAACGTTTATGTGTTATGCCCATTCTAAGTGAACTGCCAATTTACTTCTAAACTTTCAACATGCTTTCATCTACCAAAAAACGACCGGCTGTTGAAAATATCACCAGAGTCGTACAACAGTCAGACATTTGAATTGAATTTATAGATAAATAACTACAAAATAGAAATGATTCGTTATAACATAGAGAAACATTTGGAGCGACACTAAATCTGATGGTGTTTTTCAAATGATACATCACTGCAGTGTCTAATATCGTTTTCATTGTCTGATAATTGCATATCATTTGCTTGGGAAAATGTTTAAAAAATGAACTTTCTATTCGAAGTTTACACAAACGGAATGTCGACTTTTATTAACCATTTCATTCCTCCCAATCACTTCAGCGTTATTTTGAAGACTATCAACACAACAAAAAAGCCGTCATCCTATTCCAGAAAACGTCATAAACTATGAAGGCGGTGATCTTAACTAATGCAGAATGACAATACCTCATAATAGGTCTCTGTAAAATGCAAACAAAATTCCTAATTCTCATAAAAGCACAAGTAGACCAATAAAAAAAATTTTTCCCTTTCTTTTTCAAATGTAAACTTCAACAAGGAATCCAGTGAATCTGTTCATATTGTTGAATTAAACAGCAAAGGTCGAAAAGAGGCATACTGCTTTATGTTCAGAAAAAAATCAAATAAAAAGCCCAAATGAAGGGGCAAGCGTCACTGGCGAACAAAGCATAAAAATATGTAAACAACGAAGAATGTTTTTGTAACTTATACGGATGTTTCCATTTTCAAAACAGCATTATATAATATGACTAACGCTCATCAGCAAAAACTGTGATCCATTTCTCTCCAAAAAGAATTTTGATACAAAATTGAATGTCGCATAAAAATTTTTCTCCTCTCTTCTCTCCTCTCTTTTTTTTTAACTTTGGAGACGCGAGAGGCAAATAGAGCAAGGTCTAAACACGGGGTTAGGCAAGATGGCATCTCTCCATGCCGTTGTTGCCCTACACCTTCAGCGTCTCTGTGAATATAGGAGTGTTTGTGGTTTTCACAGTGCATGTATACGTATTTATTTAAATATAAATGTTTGTGTCTGAGTGAATTAATGTTTGTTCCAGTATGGTACGAGCGGTAGAAAAAAACAGTGTGCGTTGATCGTTGTTGTCGTTTGCTGCCGTTTTTCGATTAGCGTTCCAGCGGTCCGATTGAGTTGGTTGGTTGATCGTCGTCGTGACAGATCGACGTCGTATATTCTGCAGAAGTTGTTGCTTTTGCTACTGTTATAGTCGTTATTGTCATTTATTTCAAACGATTGTATTTTTTCAACACTTTATCACAGGATTTTAAAAGCATTAGTTTTTATGACTTGTAATCGAGTTGGACAGTTGTACACAGTTTCATTTCGTATTTGTTAGGTATCCAGCACGCAGAGTTTATATTCATCGTTACTCCGAACACATTTTCTTTTTCGTTTCCCCACAATTCGTTTCCCTTCTATATTTTTCACACTTCTCTTGTCATTCTGAATCATTCGATTCTGACTATTGACAGTAACAATAAACACTAACCAGTAACAGTAGCTACAACGATAAAAAAGCAACAATAAATAAGAAATGATTTCCACTGCTACAGTTACTATTATTGTTCTGATATACTTTGTTCACCCAACGTATTGTTGGACAGAGGCAGACGAGGCTCGACGTATACAGCAGGTAAAATATGTAACACTGGCAATAACACCAAATTTTTGCAGCATTTTGCTGTAATGCGATGAGAAAGCAGCTTCTTATGGATTTTTTAACCTTTTGAAACACCTAAATCTTTTTTTTGTTGATGATGCTGGTTCTTCAAAAACAAATAGTAATTGAACAAGTGGGGACTTTATTATAAAAATGGCTACGATACAAACCTCAGATAACTTCTTGTTTTCTACTATGGCATTAGAGAGTTCCGAGGAAGACTTTTTATTTGGAATTTATGGTTTTTTTTGTAAGAGCAGGTGTTTTGTACGGACTATGTTTACTTTAAATTTTTTACCTTTTATGTATTTATATATTAGAAAAACAAAAAAGGTGACAGAGCTGTGATTATTGTAGTCAACACTAGCGATGCCAATCTAAATTTTTGGGATCTGAAAATCTGAGGTGATAACAGTTTCAATTTTTGGAGCTTTCTTTTGGGGCTGATTAACAGAGACAAATATACGTAAATTTTATTCGGTTGCTTTTTTAAAATTGCTGGCTACTATTTTCAACTGTTTCACTTCGTTCAATCTTCATGTACTTGTAGGGCAAAAAAAAAATTATTATTTTATCTTGTATATTCATGAGGATTAATTACGCTTAGAATCTACGGTCAAAAATCATACCGACGTCCTCTGTGCACTGATACGTTGGAATAACAACAAAACTAGAAATATCTACATTTGTTGTTTTACTTTATTTTTTTCTATTTGTCTTCTTCCATAAGTAAAAAGAAAACTATTTGTTTGTTTCACTGTTCTTTTGAGCGATGCAAAATGAGGTACTTTGATCAATATTATCGTAATTAGTGGATTGAAAAAAGGCAAAATTGTGGACTTGAAAAATATTCTAACTTGCTGTTTTATTGAAGTAACTCCAAATAAAAAGCCCATTCAACTTTAAAGAAAAGGATAATAAAAAGTTTTCTGCTTAGCTAAACAACCACAGTTGATGCTTAATATCAGACACAGTTTATCCACAATTATCAAAACTCTAGTTTCGACTCAGCTCAACGCTACAGTTTTTGCAATCTCTCGCATTACAATGCACTCATAATAATATCTGTTTTAATGGTCTTACTTTCGCCTGCAAAATTACGCAGAAGTTGCAAGACAACTTTTGTTGACAATTTCTTTATTTTCTGCTCAGAATGAATTAAAAGGGAGAGAGGGCGAATATATGGCAGACTTAAGCTTAACAAATATGCCTATTGGAACCAGTTTTGAGTTTTTCAATAATTGCTAACAACAGATTTTCTCAGCAGCACATCCTAAAGAAGTCTATTTACAAGTATTCAGTAGTTCTTTTTTTTT